TTAATTAAAATTAGGCTAAGGCGCTCCCTCCTACTAGAATATTCATTCTATTCTAATGTGTTTCATTAAGTGTAAGCTAGAAAGAATTATTCTAAGCAGAGATGAATTTTACATTTTAAGTTACATCTTTATATGTGTGTGTGGTGTGTGTGTTGTGTTGTGTGTGATGTGTAGTGGTGTATATACTATAGTATATATATTTATAAAAGTGGCTTGAGTTTACCATAGCGAACAGGGTAGTAGGGATAGGTTTCATTCATTAAAGAATGCGTTGGGGATATGGAAGCTTTGGTTCTGAAATGGGTTCTTTCTGTGAAAGAGCTGGAATTGCCTTGAGGAGAAGGAAGAAGGTGATTTAAATGCATCCATTGAGGTAGGAAGTGGACCGTAGTATATGTGATGATTGGGAGTACATGATGCCAAGGGATGGAGAATGGATTGCCTTGCATTCTATATAATGAATTGACTTGCAAGGTAAATCTTTGATGAGATTTTGTACCACATTTTTTTGCTTGGTGAGATTAATGTTTTGGGAATGTCTATGCGGATCTGAGAGTAAGAGATGAAAGCTTTCAGCTAATTGCTATCTTGCAAGCACGATACAATCCAACTTATGAAGGCGGTTGGTATTACGATACAAACCGCATTAGACATTAAACGGATACGCCTCCGATACTCCACCGATATCGTGATGATACGCCAGCCGTATCCAATTAACATAGCTATTTAATTTTCAAAAGAAGGACATCTGTATCTATAGCGTTCCGTCTGATAAAACAAAAAAATCGAAAAAAAAGTCCGTGTCTCATATTTTACTATCCGTAGTTGCGAGCAAGGATTCTCGTCATTTCTGAGATGAATTTGAGTCCTCTTGATTGATATGAAATATAAAAATTACTAATCTTATCACTTGCATGAGCCTGAATTAGAAAGATATGATATTTAATAAAAGATATTATGAGTTCAAAAGACAAGAACCAATGAAGTTGTTGACCTCATTATTTCGACGGTCATTTCCCTCGAATCCTGATCTCTAGACCTAAGTTTTTGTAGGCCTAGTGATAAGAATATCGCAACGCGCGGGATTTCTTCCTTATGGTGACACCTAATGACGTAGCATCGACTCGAACCTATCTACTTCAACTCGAATTCAAAATCAATTCAACCATTTAATTCCTCCGAACCCAACTCAATCAAGCCCGCTTTATGATCGTAGATGTCAATCGCTCAATTGTAATATTATATACTAATTCGGATTTGATCAATTTGATTATATCATTGGGCTTAAAACATACTCACCAATCATGAATCAAAATCAATCAAATTAATCAATTGAGATCAATTCATGGCTTCGATTTAAATCATCACGTGTTTTTGACTCTCACTTAAGTATATATATTAATAATAATGATGACGTCCGTAAAAAATTATCTTAATCCGGGCACAGAATCTCGATGCATAAATCAAGTTTTCGGAACTTTCAATAAATTATATTTGGAGTACCTATCCGTAACTTCCGATTTCAGGCAAAACTTAATAGTCAAACTGAGCGTCCAACAAGAATACAAACCCAACGACACCAAGATTCGAACCCAACTCGCGATGCCCAAAATGAATCCGAATCAAGGTTGCTCAAAGCGCTGTTTGAAGGTTCAACCGCGAATTTGAGTTATCAAAAACGGTCTCCAATTGACTGATTGCTTTATACTCGATGCGAACGGATCGACGAGACGAAATCCAATGAGCTCCAAGAGTCACCGATTCCGTAAATCTATTAAAGCTCTTCAAATTGTCCAAGTGACGGTCCACAGTCAAATGCACGTTCAGCAACAACCCATAAGCCGACCCACTCTCTCCTTCTCCCTCAACACATAACCACGGCCACTCTCCCTCTCCCTGCAACCACAATAAACGTTCCAAGCCTCCCTACTCTCATATTCATTGACA